GGGTTTTTTTTTTTTTTTTTCACTGACAAAGAGAACAAACAACTCAACTTCCAGGTCTCAGGCCAGCTCTGAACTTGAAGAGACTGCAAGGTTTGTCTTGTCCGACCCCTTTCACTTGACTGCAGATGCTAATGGATTTCCTTTTGTTCTCTGTGAATTGACTTTTTTTTTTTTTTGAGAACTGGCTTTCAAACCCTATAATGGAAAATAAGGTGCTCCAGTAATTAAGGGCACAAGCAAAACCTAAACAGAGCAATTGCACCTTCAGAAACAAATATGAAATAAAATGACTTCAGATGAATTAAAACCACTCTCTTTCAATCTGGCTCGTGTTATAAAGATGTCAAATTAACAAAATTCCCCTCACAGAGGGTAGCAAGTTTTCTCGAGGAACAGAAGTATTTTTCTTCCTTGGTGTAACTGATCATCCAAATCACTGTAAATTTCTATTTAAATTTACAACCTCATTTCACAAAACCTGCAACTGTGCCCAGAAGCACACCTCCGAAGCTTGGTCTGGGCATAGCCTCCCATTGGCATGCTGTGCCTAATTTTTTATTTTACTTCTTTTAATGGAGTGAAAAAAACAAAACAGCATACTGACAGTGGAGTACACTTGGAATGAAACCACTCTCCCAACCGGAGCCCACAGCAAGGACTTGGCCTGCGTACACCTATCACCAATGTATACGATGACCCAGAGATGAGGCTTCCTTCCCCTCGGGGACTGACGTTGCCCTTCCCACAGTTCCACAGTCTCATAGTGGGTCCGGTGTGCATGAGGACATCCAGGCTTCAGGGTCCATATTTATTGAAACCCATCACCCCCTACGGCCCAGAGACATTCATACTCGGCTAATGAACTCCATTAGCTTCCTCTCATTACATAAGTTAAACCTTTTATAAATCTGCTCTACCTATCAGGGGCACGATGTCTGGAGCAGTAGTTTCTGCACACAAGGTATTAATCGACGAAGACCATGCACAATTTTGCTTGCACAGTTGAAAGGACAGGTGGGTGGCAGGTAGGGTAGGAGGGAAGTGCTGTCTGAAAAGTTCAATATAAGAGAAGCTTGCCTCCCAATGTATAGCTTGTCCTATCTTTCCCAAGTCCTTGGCTTTCCTACCTGGCCCTGAAATGATCTCTGGACAAGAAACCACCTACTTTCAACAGAACTTGACAAAGGATCATTGGGTAACACTTGGAGAAACAAACCAGTGCTGTTACCGCGACCTACAAAGACAAGACTGAGCGTGTGAGGTGCCATCTCGTGTCTCACGGAGCCACCATTTCTCTCTACTACACTCTAGAGTAGAAGTGAATAGTCCATGCCACAGAGTTCAACAGTCATTTTACTCCTCAGAAAGGTCCTCAAGGGAAGGTGCTGAATACATTCCTCCCAGCTAACAGTTGCTGGGATTTTCCTAAGTAGGGACTGATGCCCGCTGATCCCCATGGTTGTCTTTGTTCCTCCCATATTGTGGTTCATAATGAATCTTCTTTCTCTCTGGTTTTAACTTCCCATAATTAAAGTCCTCCCCAGATTGAACACAAGTTTTCTTTTTTCATACCCAGGCTTAAGCCATCCCAAAACAATAAGAACAGTAATAATAAATAACTAGAGGTGAATCCATAGGAACTCTCCATGTCTGTACAGCAGAAGTGACAAAGTTTGAGTCAAATATTTGTTTTCCCTTTTTTTCATCCACATCAAAGGCAGGAATACAACAAGGCATTGTTAGTCGTGGTGGGCAAACTGGAGCGTCTGCTGATATAACAAATTAGGTTTGTTAAGGCCTTTGTCTATGCGGAGTTAAGAGTAATGCAGAAGCCAGATCGACTGAAAACGAAAGGGCGAGGACTGTGGAGCGGGGAAGACGGAAAAGAAAAAACCCAAAACGAAAAAGAAACCGGGGAACAAACCAAGGGAGATGGAAAGAGAGAAAGAGAGAATGCCAAAAAGAAGTCCATACTGTGTCTGCGGATGGACAAGCACACGTTGCTTCCCTCTGAAAGCTTCTTGGTGTCTCTGTTGTTAATACTGTCGGAGTACAGAACAGCAGATTGATGGCATCCAGCAGCAGTTAAAAGACGCTCATCCTCTCGGCCCGTCTGAGGAGGTGCTTTGGGAAGGATCGGTCTGGGGGAAAGAGCCCTAGCCCAGAATATCCAGATAGACCGGAGATGCCTTGGCCAAGTTCTGAAGGAGAGTGTGGATGCCCTTGATGTTCTTCCTCATGTGGGGCTCTCGCTGCCAGCATCCCAGCATCAGCTCGTAGACCTCCTGGGGGCATGTTCGAGGTCGCTGCAGGACGCGGCCCTGAGTGATGCATTCTATCACCTGGACGGGATCAAAGATAGGATCAGACAGGAGGAAAAGCAATACAGATAAATATCAGTGCAAAGAGAGGGTTGCTTTAAAGAAATCCATTCAGTGTTTACTTTTTTCAGAAAGAAGAGAGCAATTGTTATAGATTGGAATATCGTGTTTAATTGGATGACATCCATTTTTCAAGCACACTGGTTTCATCAAACTATGGGAAGATGTAACTTATCTGTATGGAATTATTCCAAACCTCACTAAAATTCCAGTGCATTTTAGTTTTACTGGCTTGAGATGGAACCTAGGTCACCTTCGTGTCAGGGTTCTGACTGATGAGGGACTGAGGCTATAGAGTGGTCATTTTGGGTAAGGAATTTGGGTAAAAGACAGACTTGGGCCTGAAGAAGATGTGAGGTGCCTGACCAAGAAGCTATGCCTCAAATGCAGACATAGTTGCAAAAGGATTAGAATAGGAAAACAAAATGCTTGAGTTTACATGAGAAGTGCATGGTCTAGTGAAATGTGCAAAAAGGAAAGAATCTTGAAACCTTATTGGAATAATACACAAAAACTAGCTGGGCTCCAAGGGTGCTGGAATGTCACATCTGCTATTCATTTGCTGGATGAGCAGCACACAGTGAGTGATCCCTCAGTCCCATCACCAGAGGATGCCAAGTGTGTCAGCAAATACTGTGCATTTCTTTCTCTAGAACTCTTAAATTTTGAGAGTGACTGTACTTCAGCCTCGCACTTAGATACACAGCAGGCCATCTGAGAGGTGCTGCACCCAACAAAGCCACATCAGATTGTGTCCTAACTTCTCGCCAAGGGGCGCCTCTTGGAGTTAGCCCATCGGGAGTGTCTCACCCACCGCGCACCTCGTTGTTGGACAGCTGGTACCAGGGCTGTTTGCCATACGTGAAGATCTCCCACAACACGACCCCCAGGCTCCAGACATCACTTTCTGTGGTGAACTTCCTGTACATGATGCTCTCCGGAGGCATCCAGCGAATGGGCAGCATTGTGTGGCCTCCGACCTGGTGGAAAAGGGGTGAACAAGGAGGCCTGAGTCACCCCCAAAGCAAGTTCCCACCATCAGAGGACAAGGTGTGGAAGGGAGGTGTGGGGAACACTTTTCTTCTTTTCCTTTATTTGAATATATTGATTTTAATTATTTATAAACACATATGGTAAGTATGATTTCTTTATCATTTCAAGCACCAGGAACAGAGGGCAAAGAATGGTTAACAAACTTTTTTCATATTATTTGCAGTTCTCTCTCAAAACTGGATTGGAGCAGAGCTGATGGTTGGGTGGATGTTTATTTGGATAAAACACACACATTTTCTGGTTTGAGGATGACTCAGTCTTCTAATTAAGAAGGTAACTTTGACAAAGATAACACGTAGGGGGCTCTTCATTCCAAAATGACCCCCCAAATGACGCTACTTCCTTAGCAAGGCCAGAGCTGCCTTCCAGTTTAAGGGATTAGGATGAGCACACAGTGCTGCTTTGAACGCATTCCCCACAAACCAGGGATGAACAAGGCATAAATAATTCCCATTTTACAGATGAGGCAATGGAGGTTCAGGCTGCTATAGACACAAAGAAGTAGGGTCTTTGGACTCTGAGATCAGGACTTTTCTCTATGACAGGGCACTTGCAACTGAGCTTATTTATAAAAATAAATAAGTAACTATGGTTTTGAAAAAGCTTGTTTTAGTGAAAACATGGAGGCTGAGGCGTTAGATGGCAAGAGCATTAGCACAGCAAAGAGAACTTTGACAAAGGAGACTGGTTCATGCTTTCCTACTTCCTGGAGAAAAGTGAAGCATTCCACTTTCAGGTTTGTAGCCTATCAGGGTTGTCTGGACAGTAGCCGTGTGGGTGGTAGGTTCCACTTTTCATGTAGGTAAACCCCAACACAACCAGCCCAAATGCCAGGCCTGACACCAGGGCCACAGGTGAGCTCACAGACACCAGGAATCAGACCTCACTGACAATGCTCAGCCTCTGGGTTCTGAGACTTATACCACATATAGTTTCTGCCCAATTATCATTCTCAATATCCATTTCTGACTCATTAAAAGAAGGAAATGGACTCAGTGCCTGAAAAATGCTGCTCAACTCTGGAGCCCAAGGAGCTGAGAGGGTCAGAGATGCCTAATATGCTTGGTGATTTCAAATAATGCTCTTAGCATCAAAGAAAGCACAAATGTGAAGGGAGGAGGGTATTTCCTTTTGTTTTCCATTCTTCTCGGTTCAATGACTCCAGATCTGAAAGGTAGGAACATAACTTGCTGGCTCAGGGTTAGGGTGTCCCCATATCTTTACTGCTCAGCTTTGAATACACCGAAAGCTCCTACGCTAAGTAGAGGGGCGTTGCCTTCAATCAGCTTTTGATTCTCTCACTTGCCCCTCAACCCCGCAGTGACAGCAGTCACTGTTCAATGAGCACAGATTTCTCTTATGAAGCTGCCTGGACAGGCCTGAAGGTGATGACACTACTCACCGTCAGAGTCGATACTCAAAACACAACCTGTGTAACACAGCACCGACCAGCCAGAGAGGATGCTGGTGGTAAACTAAGATGTGTTTGCAGGGGAGAGGGGGAGAGATGGAGAACCATTTACATGCATCTCATAGAACTGGACAGCTAAGAACACACTCTAGGATGCATTAATCCAGTGAGATTCCAGGCTTTCCCTAGTCCTTGTGGATTCCCAGCTGCGACGCCGTGGACAACACTCAATTCCTGACATTAGAAATGCTGGGGTCCAGGGCACACTCCAGTGTGCCATTTCTTAGTTAGGTAGCTTGACTAGCTGTCAAACCTCTCTGTGCCCTAATTTCTCCAAATATAAAATGTGGGTAACAATGAATACATTCTAGAATTATAGTGAGGTTAATACTTAAGCAGACAATATAAATTTCAGTGCACCAGATACTTTCAAGGTATTGCCTCCTTCTCTGTGATTTTACTGTCTGACTTCAACCCCTCAACCCCGCAGTGACAGTAGTCACAGGCAAATAGGAAGCAGCCATTCTGGAGACATTGAGGAGAGTCAACACATACATCTCTGCCATACTCCTCAGCACAATGGCAAGTGCTCTGGGGCTCCTGGGACTACAGCACCTACTCTCTCAGGTTTTCTGTCCTGTATTGCTAATGACCAAAGAAAAAGCTCCTGTTTCCTTTAAAGGAGAAAAACAAGGTTTCAAATTTTGATTTACATGTTTTCCCATCTGATCATTTATTTTATGCTTGGACAGATTTTTCACTTTAATTCTTTCAAGAATCCCTTCTGGGATTTCACACATGCTGTTATAAATAATGCTTTCCTTGTTCCGATGTCAAACGGGTGAGTGTGGGAGAATCTAATAAAAGTTCAGACAGGGTTCACAAGTGTTCTAAACCCATTTAGAACACTTTTGAACATTTCTTGTGCAGCCCTTTCTCAGGATTTTAGAGTATGTCACAAAAGTAGACCAAAAAAAAAAGTCACCGTCATTGCAAATTACCGTCACATTTCAGTCACAATCACTGGATGGTTTGGGGAACCTCACAAAACCACATACTGTGCAGCAACAAACACAATGAGACATTTGTTTTGTATTGTGCTACTTGGCAATTTGCCCTCACACCCTTGCTTAAATATTTGTGACATGGAATGCGCTCACAAATATGACGCTGGGAGTCAGAACTGTTGTTTTGACTGCCGGATATGCTGCGGTGCCTGAAGAGACCCTCCGGCGGTCTAGTGTGTCAAGCCAATGCCCTTCACAAAACTCACCAGACTGAACTCATCAAGATGGGAAATCCAGTTAGCTAGGAGTTGATGTGGAGTTGCAATTAAAAAAAAAAAAAAAAAAGTTTTTATTGATTTCAGAGAGAGGAAGGGAGAGAGAGAGAGATAAGAAACATAAATGTTGAGAGACATTGATCAGCTGCCTCCTGGACGCCCCTGCTGAAGATAGAACCCGCAACCTGGGCATGTGCCCCAACCAGGAATCCAACCCAGATTTCTTAGATCATAGGTCAGTTCTCAACCGCTGAACCATTCCGGCTGGGCTTGGACTTGAAATTTTTATTTTCCTCAACCCCAGAGACTGGGGTTCTAGTGCTGGCATTACCTACCACCACGTCACCACCATGATCATTCATCAACATTTAGGACCTCAGCTTTACAGAGAATTTCCACTCACTTCTCATTTGAACCCAATAGTTACCTTTTTGGGTAGACATTGGCTTGCCATCATATTACAAACAATGACCCAAAAGTTCAAAGAGTTAAGTAGCTTTCTTGGAGCCACACACATAATGCCTCCCACTGCACATCTTGCACTCCTTCTAATGGGCCACTCTGTATTTCCAGCTTCTGCAATCTTCAACACATGCCCTGTGTGTTCAGCCAGCAAGCTTAGTTGTGGCTCCTTACCCAGGCCTAACCTACTCAAGTCTGTTGGGAAATTTGATCTCCTTTCCTTTCTAACTACTTCCTGAAGGTCTTAAAGGCAAGCCCAGGTTCCACCATTTCAAAGAACTCCGTTCCTGCTACAGCTCAGTGCCTTTTCTAAGTACCAGGAAGCCGAGTGCCCCATCGTACAGCTCTGGTAACATTGTAGGCCAGGCACTCCCTCTTTTTGCTAACAGATCACATGCCTCAAGAAAGGTGGATGTTAATCAGTTATGTCTCACAGGATATGAGGGAGATAGCTGGTAAGCATACCATGTCTTTTAGTGGGTTTCTTGTGAGTACTGATAATTTGGGAAGGAAATCTCAAAGTGTGTTTTCAAGGAGATCAGTGCTCGCTGCCTTCCCACCCATCCTCCAATAACCTCTCTAAACTCTTGATAGCACCAAGCCTTAGATTAAATGGATGGAAACTGGCTCACCTATTTGACACTACAAATAAAAACCATTCAATGAAATTTGTAATTTCTTAATGAAAATACCGGGGTTCAGATGGAGTATAAAAGCTAAGTTGTATGAGAAATACCACTCTTCAGTTTGCCACCTGTAGAGTAGACGGGGGGTCTATGGTGCAGACTTGAAATACTGAGTCTGGGAATAAAGTCTAAAAGGATGTCATAATGCATGAAGGAAGGGAGTATTGCTCTACAGGTGGTGACTAGCATGTCATGTCTTAGGAGGTTGGATAACAAGGTCAAAGGCTTAAGAAGAAAGTTAAACCATGGAAAAGAAAAGGACTGACCGACCATCACGGCTGTTGATCATTGCAATATGGTGAAACCAGCAAAGCTAACCAGAGCAATGTCTCAGGACCATGGCCAAAAAGGAATCCTACAGCGACTGAAATAAATCAAATTACAGAAAATGAGTTCTGTTTTAAAAACATATCAAGGAAAGAACTGTTCATTTAGCTCTTCAAGTGATTTCCATGATGCCTCACAATTTTGATGGTGATATGTATAGGATGATCCAGTTAAACGCAAATATAATAACTTTGTTCTAGTTAAAATACCTGAGCCTGAGCATCCTTTAAATCTACCTGGTTGAAAAGTATTTAGCAAAATAATTCCTGGAGAGAATACTAAAAGGCCCTTGGAAAAACTGTCCTGTATTAGAAATCAATGATTTCATTATTTTTAAATCACAGCTAATCACTTCAACTGCAATATTTATTTCTTACCCAAGAAATACTTTTTGGGTACATACTTTTGGTCATAAAGGTGTAAATGGTGAAAATTTCCCTGTCACTTAACAAGCAATATGATTTATTTTTCTACATTGGAAAACTAGGATTTAGAGAAATCAAGGACCTTGCTGAGGAAGTGTAGCTATGAATTGATGACCAGTAGTATTGAAGACAGCTCTGTATCCCACCACTATTCATGCTGAGGACCTAGGCTCTTTCTCATTTTTGACAAATATGCAAAGCATCTTTCCCCCTGGTACAAGTTAGTGAGGAATGCACAACTCATTTTCCAGGTGCATCTGGAGATGACAAAAGAGGCGACAAGCTTAGTTCCAATCCCATTTCAAATACCAATGTTGCATGTCTTGCCTGATTC